ATCTATCTATCTATCTATCTATCTATCTATCTATCATCTATCTATCTATCAATCATCTATCTATCTATCTATCTATCTATCTATTTCTTTATTTTTCTGGAACAGAATCTTACCAGTTCTGCTAAACTGGCTTGTCAATGAGCTTCACAGTGCTAGGGTCACAAGCTCACTCCTGCACCCGGCTTTATGCGGGTTCTGAGAATCCACATCAGGTTCTCACACTTGTATGGCAAGTACCTATTTTACCAAGTGAGCCATCTCTCCAGCACCATTGTTTTGACTTCCATCAGCGCTGACCAGTTTAGATCCTACACCAACCTTCACTTGATTAAGTTGTATAAGTAGCTGCTGTTTTGTGCATATATTTTTGGTAGGTTTCTTATTTCTTTTATCACTACATTGTCTCCTTTTTTGGTCCTTAATTTAGTATCAAAGTTTTATTCTCTATTCTACTGATGGACTCTCGGATTTTCTAGCTTTTTGGTAGGAACTTCTGATGTATGTCATTGTGTAGATATCTATTTTTTCTTTATGAGTGAATTCCCAAGAGAGGAATTGCTGACTTAAAGGGTCTATTTATTTTTATTATTACTGCCAAGAAACTTTCTAAATTAGCTGTAGATTTTGGAATTTCTCTAGTAATATGGAGGTTTAGGTAGCATACCACATCCTCACCAACCTTTTTATTTTGTCACTAATGTTTTTAGTTTTCGGTCAGTCTGAAGCAGTACTACCTTGTGGCTTAAACTGTTGTAGGAAGTCAAGGCCTACCAGGCCAAAAGGAGCCAACCTGGAGTCTGCCCGGAGCTGTCGAAGGTTCTGTCTGTGCCTAGCCAATAAGGAACTACCTGCTCGCTTAGCAACAGGCACTGTCAGAGGTCCTGATTGTGATTAGCCAATGAGAGACGAGCATGAGATGTCAACTGTCAATGGATCAGAATGCCTGGGAGCTGGAAGGGTATTATATGTAAGTTTTCCCCTGTTGTTAAATAAATGAGTCTTCTGTAAACCTTCTACCTGACTTCCGACATCTGTGTTGATGTTGTGCCATTTCACCCCCTCCCCTGAGGAAAACGATAGGACCCAGCAACACCTGGCATCTGGAACAGATACTTCTAACACGTTTTGAGCTCGCCTGATCAGAGCCCTTCTCCCCCCTTTTTTCCGTTGTGGCTTTAATTTTTGTGTTTTGCCTGGAACAGGTTCTAGTCATCTTCCTCTCCTCACTCGTGGTGCTGCACAGCGCCCTCCAAACGGTGTATTTTCGGTGAAAAGGCCCCTCAGTCCCTTTGGTGGATAAGCGTTGGAACCCCATCCTTTCCTTCTTTGGAAAGGCCCCTCGGTCCCTCGGCGGGTAAGTGTTGGAACCCCATCCTTTCCTTCGTGATGTCTGTCATGTTTATCTGCCCATTTGGTTAGGAAGGCACTTTTTTTTTTTTTTAAATTTTTCTGTTTTGGTTTTCCCAATGTCTCTATAAATAGACTGACCCCCTAGGAGGCGGAACCAAGGCTCAGCTCCCAACGCCAGCCATCCCTCATCCAGAGACACCATGTGGGCATACGCCTGTGGTCTAAAAGAACCACGGAAGTTTCCTACTAATCACTAGACATAAGGGTTCGATACAATTTCCCACCCCTGTTGACCACCAGCTGTCCCTCTCAGAGGGTGGTGATAGGCCCGGTGGAGTGAGCTGTCATCTGTGGGAGTTCCACGTTCGCTTCAGCAGGGAGAAGTGAGCAGCATGGTGGCAAGGGAGATGAAGGGCTGAAAGCCAGTGCTGGCCAGGCCTGAGGTGTGTGAGCTGTGACTGTTGTGAGCTTGACTGAGGTCTCAGGGTCCTGTCAGGTGTAGGTGACACTCCGAATTGTGAGCTCAGAGGTGAGCTTGACTGAGGTCTCAGACTCCTGTCAGGTGTAGGTGACACTCCGAATTGTGAGCTCAGAGGTGAGCTCTAACCTGGTGTGCATCTAGGTCTCAGTGAAGGTTCTGGGCCCCCTGTCAGACCTCCGCTGGGCTGTGTGCCTGTTATCTGAGCCGTCTGCTTCTTCTGGTGCTTCTGTCCTTCCAGGTGGTCCCGATAGGTCTGCAGCCCCGCGCAGATGACCCTGCAGACCTCACAGTGGTAGCGAACCGAGGCCGGCCTGGGGCCTGCCTTGGGCTTTGGCAGCCGGTCCAGGAATAAATAGCAGCACCTCGGTGGTAAAGTTGGGTCCCAGAGCCCAAGGCCTGGGTCACTCCAGAGGTGCAAGCCCATTGGAGCCCTCCGGGATTCCTGCTGCTTCCGCAGGGCCCTTTGGGACTTCAGTGGGTGGTCCTAGCAGTGAGAGCTTGGGGCTGGTCCACAGAGAGAGGCGGCAGCAGGCTTCTCCAGTGTGCCCTCGCAGCTTCTGGATCCCCTGTTGACTCTTGACAGCAGTTGGGTAGATGCAGCAGTGGCCACAGCTTCGTGCTGCTGCCTGGTGTATTCCCTCAGCTACCTGGAGCTGATCTTCAGCTGGGTGTTGCTGGCACTTGGGCTTCTCGCCTAGTGCTGCTGGAGTCGCATCGTCAAGGTTAGCCACCTGTGCAGTGCACTGGCGCTGTTGGAGGACAAGGAGCGAACTGTGCATCTGGGGGCTCACACCTCCAATCTGCCCGCCTGGTATAACTTTTCCAGTCACCGAAAGAGTAGACTAGCTAGATAAGATGGTAAAGTGCATGTGGCCCTTTATTTGTTAATTTATAGAGCTCTTTTGAGAAACCACAGAACCCGCTGTGTGGGGAGCAAATGTCCACCTCAGCTTCACAAAGTGAACCGTGGGTCTGCAGCCCCTTAGAGTCAATGGTGCTAGGGTTTAATACTAAAAGTGTTAACAAATACAAATAATTCTGGACCTTCAAATTAGTTTTGCAGGAAATTGTGAGATTGATTTGGAGATCAAGCAATATTTTTGTGGAGCTGGTGTGAAAAGTAATCAGATTCATGGGACAATGTGGGAGATCCTGGAGTCCTTGACTGGTGACACGCCTTTAGCGGGAGCACTGTCTATCTTCCTTAGGAAACCACTTTTAGGGATTAACTGGATGGGACTGTCTAATCTCCTGGGCATTCGTGGGCTTAATGGTTTATTGGATACTATCATTTTGGATGTAATATTAAACTAATTGACAATCACTTGTCAGAAAACAAGATTATAGCAGGACTCTCTACACTTCTAATAAAGACACAGTCCCATGCAGTCCCCTCCTCCATTCCCGTCCCTCACATCACACTGGCCTTTTCAGATTCCAACAGAAACTCAGAGGACTGAGTGTTGGTATCTGTCACATATTAGATCTCACTACCTAAACACCCGTATCTCTTTAATTCTCAGAATAGCTGTAGTTCTGATTCAGTTAAAAAAATCAAAGCTGGCTTTGGAGTTGGATTATGGCTCCTTCTCTAAACTCAAGCATATTACCAGAAGAAAAATTCAGAGTTTCTGTCTCATATCAGAAGAGCCACATGGTGTGGAGCAGAAGAAAACAAAAAATCTAGGGACTATTGTCAAAACTCTGTTATCTCTCCAAAATTCTATTTCTCTCCTATTTTTGACTTTTTAGTCCATTTCTTTTGCTAAGCAACTTAAGTATATATTGACAGACTGATAGGTAAAATAAATAGATGATAAACAGATAACAAATGATCAATAGATAGGCAAACAGACAGATAGATAAAGATAGATGATAAGTGATAATACATGTGACATGTATATTCAGTCAAATATCATCACATTTTTTCATATTTATCTTTTAATTATTTGTAAGTCTATGTGTGTCTATGTGTCTGTATCTGTGGTCCTTGAAGATTTCCCATACCACTGGCATACCCTAAAATCCACAAGGACAAGCCATTGTGGAGAGGACAAACAGCTCTGAAGGAGCTGTTGGCCAGGACTGTCTCACCAGAGGCCAGGAGAGGTCCTCATCTGGCCTTAACAGAGGTCCTTTTCCATATGAACTCTCTCAGTTTTGATGACAAGGGGCTCAGCCCAGCTTACAAGCACTGGGCATCACTGTTAAGGAACACACCCCTTCCCCTGGTGTGTGGGGAACACACTCCCTCCAATGGCAACCTTCAGCCCCCCTGCTAACCCATGGGAGATGACAGGCTTGTGTTTTTCCTCAGACTGCCACAGCACCAATATAGGTTCCAGTAAAAGATGTATGCCCAGCTATGAATCAGCCTGCTTCCAACAAGGACGGAATCACCTGGGTTGGTAATGTGTCCACTTCCATTTCTTGTTCTCATTCCCTCCCCCCAACAAATTGATTTATTAAGGGCAGAGGTTATAACCTTTGACTCGTCCTTTTTTGAAAAAGTTTGGCATAGTATAAAAAGGCTATTGGATCCCTCCTGGATGCTCACATATGCATTAATTGGTAGGGTGGGTTTTTTTTAAACCCCTATTCTCCTTAAATGTCTCATGCAGCAGATTTGATAACAATGGACAGAAACCAAAGTGATTCCTCAGTTGTTAATTGCTCTCAGGCATCCTTCTCGTAGTCCTCCACAGGAGGTTATGTATGCCTGCTTATTTATAATTCAAAAGGCTACTGCCTAGTCCCCCACCCCTAGCAGCTCTCCAGGAATGAGTGTTCTTTGAGGGTCCATAGTCAATGGCAGATAAGAGCTTGTCGGGCAGGCCAGACTAAGACAAGCACAGTCCAGTTGCTGAGCCTTCCTGAGGCATGGTCAGCAAGGCCTGACCAAGAACTCTGGTTCCTGCTGAACGTCCTATGTAATAAATAAAAAGGGTGGATGTGTAGGAAGTTAAGGCCTACCAGACCAAAAGGAGCCAACCTGGAGTCTGCCTGAAGATGTCCAAGGTCCTGTCTGTGCCTAGCCAATAAGGAGCTACCAAGAGGTGTTTGCTGAGTACCTAGCAATAGGTGCTGTCAGAGGTCCTGATTGTGCCTAGCCTATAAGAGATGAGCATGAGATATCAACTGTCAATGGACCAGAACGCCTAGCCAATGAGAGATGAGTGTGAGCTAGCAACTGTCAGTGGATCAGAACTGCCTAGCCAATGAGAGATGAATGTGAGCTAGCAACTGTCAATGGGGCAGAACGCCTGGGAGCTGAAAGGGTATTATATAAGATTTCCCCCTGTTGTTTAATAAATGAGTCTGCTATAAACCTTCTACCCGACTCTCGGCTTCTATTTGTTGATGTTGCACCTTTTCACCCCCTCCCCTGAGGAAGACGTTAGGATCCAGCAACAAATTGTGTTTTACTGATGATAAATGATGCCAGGCACTTGAAAAAAATATTTTTTATTTTTATGTACATAGGTGTTCTGCCTACAGATAAGTCTGTATGAGGGCATTGATCCCCCAGAGCTGGAATTACAGATAGTTGTGAGTTGGCATGTGGTTGTTGGCAACTGAACCTGGATCCTCTAGAGGAAGAGCCAGTGCTCTTAACCACTGAGCCATCTCTCCAGCCCCAATGGCAAACACTTTTAAATATCTTTTCTTCTTTTTCTGTGTGACTTCCCTCATTTTAAACATTGCATCCTCTTTGTGTTTTGATTTGAATTGTCTTTTCTTTCCTACTCCTTTTTTAAAATGTGTTTTGCATACTTTGTGCTGTGTGAGCTGGTTTGTGACCTTTGTCATTTTCCTAAGACTTTTACTGAAGCAGACGCTTCACATTGTGAGGCTATCTAACATCATTTTGTTTCTTTTACATTTAGTCCTTTATGTGTACTCTCAGAGAGAGTGCCTTCCCGAGGTTGAGCACATACGCTTGCTTGTTTTCTTGTGGATTTATAGTTTTAATGTTTATTATTACCTCTGTTATTTGTCTTGAGCTGATTATCATTTGTTGTGTAGTTAGGTAGTCCACATTGATCTGTTGAGGAGGTGTTCCTTTCGACACTGAGAATAAGTATGTTTCTCATTTCTGGAACCCACATTCTACACCTTTGCTTTGTTTTATTCTCTTCATCCTGAGACCAAGATATTGCAGCATATGTAGTATTATAGTAAGCTTGGAAGCCAGGCTGTGGTAGCCTCTTCTTTTCTTTATTTAATCTATACAAAATATATTTATGATATATAAATTATTTTATATTACTTTTGAAATTATAATTTATAGCATAATGACATCATTTCCTACCTTCCTTTTCCTCCCTCCAAACTTTTCCATGTACTTACTTTTGCTCTCTTTCAAACACATGCCCCCCTTTTTTATTAGTTGTTTTGTGTGTATGTGTGTGTATACAACCACCACTTTACTAAAGCAACATAATCCTTAACTATAATCTAAATATGAATCCTTATACCCCCTTTTTAGGGAATTTCTCTTTGCCACAGAGACCACTGGTCAAAATGTAGAGTTGTGGATCCAAGACCCCAGTGATAGATGTACAAAATAACCACTGCCTCCAAGGTTCAGGAACATTGCAGAAGAGGAGTTGGAAAGATTGTAAGAGTTGGAGGAACAGAATGTTTGTTCTGAGATTGTGTTTCCTAGAACTATCAGAAGCTATGCCCATAAAGTCTCACCAGCATCACTGCATAAACATAAACTGAAGAAGGAGGATGCCAATAGACACATTACCATGGGAGGGGAAAGGTACATGATGCCTCAACTGCAGAAAAAGAGCTATGGGCACTAAGGAATGCTGGGAGAAAGAGAAATAGTCTTTCCTAGGGAAGCCACACCAATTAGTTATCTAATATCTAATGATTAGTCCTGGAAATGTGCATGCAAGTCATTATACAGAATGAGCAGGCTGTAGTTATATATTTAGCCTTTTCTTTTATACATTTTGGTCATTGAGTTTTTTGAAGCTTCCCATGTGTTTTATACCAATTTTATGAGTTTATGTAAGTAAACTGGTGAGATTTGATTAGAATTATGCTTAGAGAGAATTGACAATGTTTCAGTGTTTATTCTTCTGATATAGAGAAACTAGTACATTTCTCCATTGATTTAGGTAACCATCAATCAATATCTCCTCAAAGGTTTTGTAATTTTGGTGTGTGGGTATTTTATAGGATTTTTTTTACTACCAATAAAAATACCTTTAAATTTCATTTTCAGTTGTCCACTGTTAGCATAGACAAGCAAATTGTTTTAAAAATACTGACCTCATATTATCCTACTAGGTTAATATTTTATGCTCTGAAAAGAAATAACAATATTAATTTAATTTTTATTTCTAGTGTTTTTCCATTATTACTTTTGTGAGGAATGGTAGATAATTCTTGTCTTTTGTCATGTAGCCACTGGTGAAACCCTAATGCTCCAGTGGATAACTCCACACCCACCTTCTTCTGCATGGCCCTGGTTAAACAAGGAGGTTCACAAAACAGAAACAAAACCAAAAAGACTTGATAGTGGGAAGCAGACCTGTGGGGAGGGAAAAGTGGCACAGGGCTAGGAGTGGGCTGAGGAATGTGACCAGAATGTACTATGAGAATATATAAAATTGTCAGAACAAATCAATTAAAAAATAAAACAATAAAAATGCTCTTAGTGAATGTGCACTCAGTAGACTACACCTTTTCTTTTTAAGAATAAGAAACTTACCTTAAAATATTCATTATTATTTACACTTACTTAATTTTCTTAATGCCAGCTTTACTCCCCAGTTTTTGAGGTAGCTTAAAACAATAAATAAACATTCACTGCTTGTCTCAAAATACTCACAGGGCACACAGTAATTTGATTTTTAATAAATTCCTAAGATTTATCTCCTCTAGGGAATAGATAGTTGAGGAGTGGGGTTGAATTTCAGAAAGGGTGTGGCAGGCATGATATCTACAGCCCTCACTGGGGCAGCTGGAACAGCCCCCATCCTGGTGACCTGGAAGCTGTTTACTTCTGTTTTTCCATTTTCTGCTGTTGTTTGTGTCCTGAGATATACACATGACAAGAACTTCACCTTCAGTTTGTGAAGAAATTTTGTTGTTGACTTAAGGAGTATGTAATTTTGCTGTTTTGTCTGTCTACCCCTGGAATCTGATTCGAAGTTGCGTTTCTTGTAATGCTTCAAAAAGCATAAAGATACACCGGACAAATTACTCTCTTGTTTATGAAGTAAGTTCGAAATGCTATTTACTTTTGTATGCAGGCGTACACTTGTTTCCATCAACTTTGCTTTGAAATCTTAGAGTCATCACTGATTAAAAACAGAAAAATTGTGCTTTAACATTTTTTTTTTTAATTTGGTGCTGGGGAGACAGCTGAGAGAGTAAAGCGCTTTCCATTGAAGCATGAGGACCTGCAACTGGTCCCCCAGCACTCAAAGAAAAGGCCAGATGGGAAGACAAGCCTGTAATCCCAGCCCTGGAAGTAGTCTGAGGGGTTCCCGGAAGCTCACACAAGCTGGTCTGGTTTACATGGCAAGCTTCCGGTTCGGTGAAGGACGCTACCCACAATGCGATGAAGAACAATTGAGTAAACCAGCTGAAATCTACCCGTTATTCCACGTGTGCATGTGTATGCACACACAAATTTTAAATTAAATTGGAAGGGCTTAGTCCAGAGTAAATAGGGCATTTTGGTTGAAAACTATTATTATTATTAGAAGTATTCTGTTATTACTGTTCAATTTTTCTGATAGCTGATGGCTTTGGTAATATTATTTATGCACCAGGGGCTTTATCAGAAAAGAGAAATTATTTTATCCTCCATTTTCATGGATTTCTTTTGTTTGTAAAAAAGATTTTCTTAAATCTCTCTGTCCTATGAAATGATTTACTGTATATAAAGAGTCTATCGCTGAGCTGTCAATCTGCTGCTGAGCCCTTTGGGTGGAGCACTGAGCTCTTTGGGTGGAGCACTGAGCTCTTTGGGTGGAGCACTGAGCTCTTTGGGTGGAGCGTTGCTTGACCCTCAGCACCTAGAATAAGGTTTTCCCGTGTGGAGGCACTCTCGGCAGGTGTGTAAAAAACCGAACCCTTGGTTTTAAAATTTCCGTGTCAAATGTCAGTTTTCTGAGGGTTCTCAAAATAATGGATATGTTAATGCCTATTCTCCAAGGTTCTTATGCTTATAAATATGCTACTAATATAGTTTAGATTATTTAATAGGTCTAGCTTTATAATAAAACCTGTATAGACTTTAAGCATTACACTGTTTTATATTAATCTTTAAATTCAATGCAGACTGAAAGAGAGTACATTTTCCATTTCTAATTTATAATGCCTTTCAAGGATTATAAAATGAATTGTTTTGAAGAATTGTAAAATGGACAATTTGATAATGCTGTACTTTAGAGCTGATGTTTGCTCTTTTCTTCTGTGTTTTGAAGGCACCCATGCATGACACTTGTCCTCTGTTCTTGATCAGCAGGTCTTGCGAACACTCCAGAGCATTATTGTGCTGCATCTGCTGGTGAGGCTGTCTCAGGTGTTTTAATGTCTGAGTCCTTAGCTGGGATCTGGGGCGTCCAAACCAACCTGCTTTCATTGCAAGCCCTTCTCTCCTTTGCACTCTCAGATAAGTTCCTTTTCATGTGTTTAGAATCAACCTCTTTCAAACATGCCTCGTTTCTCCAAGGATTAATAAACACATACTGGCCCTCTCATGATTTTCAGCACATGTAAAATACATCACTTCTTTACTTGAGCTTCCTAGAGGGTAATTGTTCATTCACACTCTCCCTATGAAAGGATTACTGCACTACAAGTCTTTGTCTGATAAGCAGTGTTGCAAAGGCTTTCAATAGCGAAGAAAATGACTTAAAAGACACGGAGATAATAAAATGGTCACAGAGTGGAATTTTGCTGTGTTATGAAGTCTATTCTTTTATGGAAATGCTTGTGTATGGAAAATAGGCATGCCTGTCAGAGCAAAGACCACCCTCTGGCCTGGGATCCTTTGGTATCTGAATTCTGGGGTGCTTATTGTGCAGGGCTGAAATATGAAGGCACATCCAATGCCGAGGTACGATCAAGCATCTGGACTGTGATTTATCCAGCTTCCTTTTCTGAGTTCAAGCCCTGAGCATGTCTAGTGTGATGAACAGAATAAATGAGAGCAAATTGACTTTCATACTCTAGCAGGGGAGGAGAGTCATGCAAGTGCGGATCCATCATCCGCCATGGCTGTCCTGACAGCATTCATCCACCAGAGCCAGCTTTTGTGTGGGCAATGCCAGGGAAATTTATTTCTCTGAGTGAGTTTACTGCCTACATTCAGGGTGTCTCATCTTTCTGGCAATCAGGATAAATTGTGTCTCAGTAATAACACTGTAGCAAGCTATTCTTTACCATGAGGAGTCAGTAATGACTGTGACTTACATTTGCATTCATTCTGACAAGATTTACTGGTGCTTGCTGATCTGTAAATTTCAAAATGGCAAACAGCATCAAAGGTCAACACAGTGATAATATTAATGGCTTTAGGAAAAGGTTGAGAGGCTTGGAAATTCCAGATGATAGCCTGGGTAAGAGGAAAATCCATTTAGCAATGGTTGTCCTCATTCTCGCTATTGCTTCTTTCTCTCTTTATAGGGCAGCCATAGCACCCTAGCAAATGAATCAAGCAGCACAAAAGGTCAATAATATGGAATTTTGTTGAGTCACAGGTAATAATAGTTTTCCAGAATCTATACTTTATAAAAATACTAGAAAAATCTGGTGAAAGCTATATGTTTTTCTATAACAAGGTTTGGGTTAAAAACATTGTGTGTGTGTGGGGGGTATATGTATGTGTACTTGTTCATATCTCTGCATATGTGTATGTGTGTGCATGTAACCATGTATGTACATGCATATGAAGGCCTGAGGCTGACATATGGTGACTTCCTCAATCACCCTCTGCCTTATTTTCTGAGAATAATCTCTTACTCAAGTAATACTCAAGTAAGAATACTCAAAAAACCATATTTAACTATGAAGAGGAACAGTCACTTGGGCTCTTCAGATTTCTATAGGAGGAGAGTTCTTCAGGTTTCTATGCTTTATGTGAGACTGAATTGTATGTAAAACTGGGTTTTATATAAGACTAGACCTTTCCTTATGGTTCCAAATAACACAGAAGTTTCTTGATGCTGATGCATGCTACCACAGTTTGGTTTCTTTTTTACATCAAAGTACCATAGACTGGGTAACTTATAGATGGAAAATGTGGCTTTTTGACTCATGTTTTTGTCTAGAGATTGGCAGTCCAAAATTAGATATCCATATCTAGCAAGACACTCAACATTGCTTAATTCATCACAAAAACAAAAACAGGTAAGCTGATGGGTAGAACTGATCCTCTAGTTAACCTATCTTATGAGAAAGCAGACCTTCATCCTGTTGACCTAAAGGATTAACAGGATCAACAGGATTGAAGTATACCAACTATAAGGGCAAGTCAAGTGTTTGAGACATTATGAAAATGATCACTCAAGGGGCAATAAATTCCAGCCATGTAGCATTAACCCTCCCCTCAATAGCATCAGAAGGGACTTTTATAGGTAGAAGAAGGTGAAGGAGGAAGTTGAGGAGAGTTATGTGTTATTTCTTTGAAGAAAGAATACAGCGCACTAATTGGTATCTGGTTACTTTAAAATTACTGAGTAGGGTATAACTATGTAGTTCAGAATGGCTTCGCCAAACTTATATGTTTGGCAGGCTGGCTTTGAACTTAACATCCTCAGCTAAGTTATAAAAGCTCACTGGAAGGATGCTTAAGCTATTGGCCAAACAGTATTGTAAATAATAGTTTCTGAGTGATTATTTTGGGGTCTGGGCAGCCAGTAGAATGAACAAGCAGCCTCTCTCAACAAATTGATACTAACATGGTTGACTATATCCACGTAAAACCTGAGAAAACATGGAAGGGAATTCTAGACATATAAGAACAGAGTTAAACACAGCTTCTTGGTAGGTGGCATTTTTTTCCCGGATGGACTCTATTTACTGGTGGTGAGTAGGAGCACCACAGCTCCATTAAGAGAAGTCTTCTTGATTCAGCATTAGCAGCAACTAAAATAATAATAATAAAAACAACCAACCAACCAACCAACCAAACAAAAGCCCTGTATGGCTTCTTTGAAAAATGGCAGCTTCCTGATTCATGATAGTTGCATGTACAGGTCCAGCTCTTTCAGAAGGCCAAACATTTAAATGGGATTTGTGAGCAGAGTGGCTACAACTTGCTTAATGGTAAAACCACTGCAACCCTGGATCTGGGGCAGAGAGAATAGCTCTCAGAGGCAGCGAGCATGCCTCTGCCATGTTGGAGTGGGTGAAGCAAGCAGGCAGGACCGTGGAGTTGGTTATAGCCATATCTGTTTAGCGTTTAAAAGAAAAAATACTCCTGGTCAAAAATAATTACAAATATGGACACCATAAAAACAGATTCAGATGAAAAAGATCTCTAAATGGGTCACAGTGTTGGCTAAATGTATGTAGGTTTGAGAGAGAGAAGAAAAAAATAGAAAAAGAAAGTAAAATAAAGACTTTAAAGACACAGAACAAGACAGTCATAGGTTAAAGGAGTAAATAAACTTGCAGAAAAAGTAATAAAGTTAGAAAAATAAGCCACATAAAAATGGAATATACATACAGAGAGTCGGGATTATATATATTGTGCTTTCTTTGAATTTTTGACTGTGAATGAATTAAGTTCAGAGAGACATTTCATTGTAAGGGTTGCTAAGCTAAACCAACATTTATTTTTAAATATCGTGACTTCAAAATTTGAGTATAAGGATATATTGCTTTGGAAAAAAGGTTCTACTTATGTTTCCACAAAGGATAAGAACATGTGGATTCCTTCCAGACTAATGTGATTTGATCAAAGAAGACCCTCCTGAAACAAAGGCCCAGATGGTTCAACATCCATGATGGCTTCAGGACTGCTGGCTGAGATGGACCTATCACACAGGATACCCCCAATAAATAATAGTACCCCCAATAAACAGGAAGTAGTCTAGACAACAATGCTCAAATTCCCTAAATGATTGTTTATAAATGTCTGTTTACATCTAAAGGGGGATATACTATAGAGATTGGCATTCGTATGGATCTTGGTTTATTGATACAAATTTCAGGTCAGTTTTGTTATATAATGTTTCTGCTCTTGATTAAGGTTTTGTGTTTGTGTAGCTCATTTAAAAATATAATGTATAATTCAGAAATACAGGTTAAAAGATAGTCATCTATAATAATCAAGCTTGTAGTTATGTTAGTTAGATTTTCTAGATATATAGATAAATATTTCAGTTATGTTGATAATTTTCAAACCTTTCAAAGACCTATGAAATATGGCATTTAAAATGTTTTAAAAAACTTAGAACTTTTTATGACAATGAGACACACCTGCTCCTGGCAGCATCAATTCACTTCAAGAGGATGATGGGCATCAAAGAGGCTCCTTATGGAATTTGCTAGCCATTGCCTGTACTGTTTGATGTTATACTGTATGAACTGGACACATAGGACAGAAAAATGGCTGCTGAAGTTGTCTAAAGGTGAGACCATCCTTTAGGGTTCCTGCTTCATGAAAGGGTCTGCCAGACATTCTGCAGGACACAGAAGAAAGCAAGTGATGGACTTGGCATTACAAGGCTAAACAGATCTTCAAATTTGCTGCTTCATAGAAAAGTCTGATAGATACCACGAGCATTTAGACTGAAGATGGATGCCTAGAAAAATGTTACAGAAGGATTTTGGGTGATTGTTCAGGTAGAAAGATGTCTCTGTCAATTCTAGAGTTTTGGAAGCTGCTTACAATGCACTTCTTGTTAACTTAGGTAATATTAAATCCTTCTGGGGCTTTTGATGGAGTTGAAGAATTGAGAGTTATAATTATGGTTTTACTTAGTTATGATAAAAGATAAAGCATATATAAATATTATAACTGTAATTCTTGTTTGATACCTGTTTTGTTGCTGTAATTTTACTATATTAAAGTTAAAACTTTCCTTTTTATTAAGACAGAAAAGGGGAGATGATGTGGGAAGTCCTTCTGTATGTGTGTTTCTTTTATTGGTTAATGAATAAAGAACTTGCTTTGGCCTGTGATAGGGCAGAGTAGAACTAGGCAGGAAACCTAAACTGAATGCTGGGAGAAAGAAGGCAGAGTCTGTGAGGTTCCATGTAGCCATGGCAGGAGACGGATGCACAAGAACCTTGTCGGTAAACCACGAGCCTTGTGGTAAAATATAAAATAATGGAAATGGGTTAAATTAGGATGTAAGAGTTAGTCAATAAGAAGTTAGAGCTAATAGTGATTCTGTAGAAAGGAGCTGCGGGCAGGCCTGCTTTTCGCCTCACCCAGCTCCCGCACGGCTAGCTTAGTCCCAGAAATAACAACACATAAGTTGTATTCATTTAAATACTGCCTGGACCATTATCTCTAGAGAATTAGTTACTGGCTAACTCTCACATCTTGATTAACCCATTTCTAATAATCTGTATCACACCACGAGGTGTGGCTTACCGGGAAAGATTCAGCATGTCTGACCTGGTGGCTGACTCCATGGCGTCTGGTTCATAGCCCTCTTCCCAGCATTCTATTCTGTTTACTCCGCCTACCTAATTTTCTGTCCTATCAAAGGGCCAAGGCAGTCTCTTTATTGACCAATGAAAATAACACAATAGACAGATAACCCTCCTCCATCAGTGATTCAATTAATACAGTTTCTGTGTGGTTATTTTGAGTCTGGGCTGCTGAGAATGTCTGTGCAGTCTCCTCCAACAAGATCTTACTTTCCTGAATGCTTTATTTAGAGCCATACAACCCCTTTTCCCAACTAGTTCAGGCAACTTGAGGACTAAAGAAGAATGGATGTAGAACAACTAAATCTGTGGTATGGGAAGAGGAACGAGTAGAGATGAGCTACATTTAAACATAAGGAATGAAATATGCAGTGAACTATAAATGATGCTGAGCAATCTAGTGTACAGTCCTGATACCTTGTCCTCACTGAGACACACCAGAGTTGGCCTTTATGTGTGGCTTCCCTTTTTGTTTTGTTAGTTCAACTCTTCTAAGCCTTGTGATGACTTGAGATAGTTTTTTGCATTATAATAGTTTTCTAGACACAGGCGTATGTTGGTAGAGGCTGTGCATTTGTTTTTCAGCCACTCTACCCAAATAATCATACAGAAACTATATTACTTACAACACTGCTTGGCCTATTAGCCCAGGCTTCTTATTAACTAACTTTTACATCTTAAATTAACCCATTTTTATTAATCTGTATATTACCATGAGGCTGTGGCTTACCAGTAAAATTCTGGGTAGCTGTCTCTTTTGGTAGCTGCATGTTATCTCTCTGACTCTGCCTAATCTCTTTCTCTATATCTCTTCTAGCCTTGTTATATTCTGCCCTGCTGTGGGCCAAAGTACCTTTATTTATAAGCCAATACAAGCAACACATACACAGAAGGACCTCCCATATCAGGCATATGAGGTTTTTTTCTATAATCTTTGTTCATTAGAGTCCAAAAGCGTTATGGCCCCACTGAGAAATTAATGCAAATGTCCTCAGCTAGATTTTTTTGTTGGTTTATGATCTGGTACCTATATATATACTTAGTGTCCTCATGCTCTGAGTTTTCCAGGTTGACTTCTAAACTACCCCAATATGGCTATTAGACTGGTTGTATTCTTTCATTTCTGAGGACAGAATTTTCTGAATGGGGTCTGAGCCAAGCAAGGCTTACTTTGAGCTGAAGGGCCAAGCCAGCTGTTCTGTAACATAGTTCAATATTCTTTCTGACTAAAATGGATCATCATTTTCCTTTTGAATCATTTCCCATCTGGTGAGACATGAGCCTTGGAGACATAGACAGGGAATGAAAACAGACAAACATATCTGTTTATTTAGACATTTTTAACAGATGCTTGTAGCTGCTAAATGCCTGGTGGCATAAGGAAAGGAAAAATTGTATGGCACAGCTATGTGGGGGAAAGAATTTTCTCTCTTTTCTCAGCAAGTTCCCCTGTTGTGGATTAAATTCATGTTCCATTCTTTTATCTCTTCTCAAATCCATGTCCTTTCTCATGTAAATGGGAGGATTTTAGCTGTTGGCCGAGTATACTGCCCCACCTGTAGCTCAGAGTTTGCTTTTATGCTTTGCTTTGGCTAAGGGATAGCAGACTCAGATAAAAAAAAAAAAAGCCTGAAATGAATTTACCTGCTTGGGCTTTCCATCTTCTGTCTGTGATGAGTCTCCCACTTTAGTTCTTATCCTTTCAGACTAGGCAGAGGAATGAACATTCTGAGCATTGATCTTTTAAGCCCAACTTGCAAAAGGTAGATGCATCAGTCCCATGGGGTCTGAAGCTTGAAGCAGAGTCAGCTATGTAGGTCAGCTGGCTTCCTTTCTGGAACCAGAAGCCATATGAACGACAAGGAATAGTGGCTATTTTAAGGTAATTCTTCTGAAGTGGGTGCTACTAGAATTAGGTAGGTTGAGAGTAGAGATTGTGCAGCCTCTCACTACGTTGAGTTATTTGACCTAGAGGTGTTGATTGTGCTGCTGTAAAGGAAACTGCGTTAAGACAATAGCTACCACCTTCTACTGCTACCATCTCCTTCTTCTATTACCACCTCCTACCCATTGGTTGTGGTTTTCTGTGGTGCAAGGAACTGTTTCCTTGATGAGAGGTAAAGACTACACTTGTCTGTGGATGTAAAGATACATGTTTATAGATTGTTATTAGGGATTATACTGATTTAGTAAATTGGTGGTTGTGAATTATTCTCTGGTAACCATGGCTTCACTAACAACACCTTGTTAGTACCCTACAATAGTTTTAGGCTTTATATTTCCTCTTTGAGAGGGTCTTTTAAAAAACCTTTTATTGATTCTTTGTGGATTTCACATCAACTCATCTCCCAATCTCCTCACCTCCATTCTCTGACCTTGCAGTCTCCCTCACAAAACGTAATTTAAAAGTAAAACCTAGACACCAAACCAAAATAAACCAAAACAAAATCCAAACAAACAAAAATCAAGTCAAACCAACTAACCAAACAACCAACCAACCAACCAAACAAACAAACAAAAACAAATAAAAATTATCTCAGCATGGAAACTGTAGTGTGGCCCTATGAATCATATACCCTATAGTCTACCATCTTTACTTGTAAGTGTTCATTGCAATGAATCATGGGGCCTCTGGCTTCTGCTGCACTATCAGGACTGGGTCCTCACTGGGACTCCTCTTGAATATCCTATAGTTGCCTTGCCTTGTGGAGATCCTGCAGGACCAGCCCCTTCACATGCTCCAGCAGTCTGTAGATGAGGCGGTAGCTGGGTTGGTTAGCCTGCCAGCTTCCCTCATCGTCACTACTTGCACTAGCCCACCCAGTGTGGCAGATAGCAAGAATTGGGGCCAGTTCTCCTCCTTTCCTACCCTCGGGTCCAGCTCACCCACACTCATATCATTAGGGCCAGGTCTACTGTTTGCCAGGTGAGGGGTAGGCCTGCTGCACTTGGAAAGAGGCAGGGTCAGCTTCTTTCTCGTGCCCCCGAGGCTGGTTCTCTTGTCTGTTGCAGGTGGCAAGGGGTGGGAGAGGAAGGTCATATTTCCCTGACCCTTGCCACTCCATGGCATGGGAGGGAGGGGACAGGGCAAATCTCCTGCTGTCACACCCACAGGACTGTCTCACCTGTACCCTGTCAACAGGGTCAACCTGCTGTGCTGCCTGAGCTAGGTACAGAGAGCACTCTCCTGAGTGTTGAAGCTGGCAAGGGGCGGGATAAGTTCTCCTACTGTTATGACCCTGGGACCTGCTTTTCCTGACTGCAGTCAATGGCAAGGTGAGGGCAAGGGGCTTATCGCTCCCTTGTCCATGCCACCATAGGGCTATCTCTCCCACTGTCTTGCTTTCAGGTCCTGCTCACCCACACTGGTCTCAGCATGGACAATTCTTCTGCACTGCTCTGGGAAGGTGCAGGACCTGCTCT